AATTTTACCAATGGAGCACCGTAGGTATCCATGTCAGAATATGACCCTTGATTTGAGGGTCAAAAGATCCTTGCATTCTTTTTTTGTGGGTCCCAAAACTTTTGGACTAACAAATGGTGAAACTATGGCAGGAATGTGTGGGAAAAGCAAGTTGTTCAGTGACAGTGGGAAACTGGATATTTGGAGACCCATGCAGTGATATGTTGAAGCGTTTGAAAGTGGAAGCAATTTGCAGCACAACCCAATGAGATATGTTTGAACGGATCCAAAAATATGCAATTTTCAACACATACATACACAAAAGGAGAAAGATGAGAATGAAAATAGTATAGTGAGGTTGAGACTTTAATGGGAGTATATATATATTATTATTGAATTCATATCTTTTAGTTCTTTTTTTCTTAGTTATTATCTTTGTTTTTTACATTTATATATTCGTATAGACATTTTTATCAGCACAACATATGAAGCGTGTGTCGGTTGCAAGTAGGGATGACAATCAACATATAAAGTGTCTCGGTTTCATGTCGAATTGGTAAATTCTCGAATCCAAACCCAGCCTAACTTGGTTAGGGAGTGATTTAGACAGGTCGAGTTTGGATACTTATTTTCAATCCAAATTCAGATATTTTAAAGTCTGGCCGGGTCGGTTGAAAATGAGTTTGGGTTGGGGTATCATCCATAGTTGGAAGAGAACACAATTTCTATGAAATTTATAAGATGCCATGAAATGATTTCTCAAATTTCAGACAAAATTCTTCAAAAAAAAAAAATATAATAATAAAAATATTTCAAACTTAAGACGATTGTGCGAGGGCCAACGTAGAATTTAGAATGTGCAAAAATTAATTCTAATTTGTTTTGAATTAATTAATAAAAAGAAGATGAAGTAAGGACATGGAAACACAAACTAGGAAGAAGACGCCGCGGAGCCTGAAGCTGGTTCAGTGATGTGTTTGGCAATGGTCTGCTGCAATTCTTCTTTCTTTGCTCCCACAACCTTATCAACAATGCTCCCTTCCTTTATAAACATAAAGGTTGGCATTGCTTCAATGGCCCAATCCCTTGCAACATCCTGCAAAAGGGAAACATACCATCACATTAACCAATATATTAACCCTGCACCAAACTGGTTTTTATACATTTCCTCTTCTTTTTTGGTAAATAAAGGTTAAGGGTCGGGCTTCGTTAGATATCAGTGTTCGGCTTCAACATTTTGAAAATGTTATCCAACGATTTATTTGAGCGGTGTAGTTTTTGGCTTACGCTCAGTTCATTCACATCCACCTTAAGGAAGACAACATCGGGCAGTTTCTTGGCCAACTCTGCCAAGAATGGAGCGATGAATCGACAGGGAGCGCACCAAGAAGCAGTGAAGTCAACAACTATCTGCAATAACAAGTCGCGTTGAATCAAACTGAAACAAAGATGCAAATTGATGTTGTTAGGAGTGTCAAAGGCAATATATATTCTTCATTTTCGACCAAACTCGTACGAATTTAATTTCAACAACTATCGAAAGGCCTCGAAGTAGTGAAGTTCAATTCAGTTTAGTGGACAGCTATATTCAAAGGTCACTGCACGTCTCGTTAATTTCCCAACGTGGTATTTATGCTAATTATACCCCAACAATCCTTCCCTCTAACCAAAAGAAAGTTTAATGTGTCATTTTGATTCAGTTCATCGTGTGCTTGTTTGTATTGGCAATACCGTTTAGATTCAGTAGCATTTTGAAAAAAAATCTAACTGCATCGTCTAGCTTTAGCATTTTTCAAAGTTACTCTACATCATTAAAAAAAAATCCAAAATGCTAACACGTTGTCCCCAAACAAAGCCCTATGTAATGCTCCAAACAAGAACATTGTAAATAATGGCTCTAAAGGATGAATGAAAAGCAATACTTCGTGTGTGTATTTTTGATTTTTTCCCAGTTCAGAAATGCCATCAAACAACAAAACACAAACTTTTTTTATTTTTCACATTTACAGTGGTGACTAGGAACAATTAAAAACCAACTGCACATATTAACCATGGTAGAAATAAGAAATCCCATCCGAGATGAAATTCAGTTCCGAAAAAAAATAAAAATTGACATGAATGAACAGAGAGATTCGCTGTTCACATCCATGCACATAACAAATCCTCGACTAAAATCAGATCGAAATTAAGGTGGTAAAATTTCATTTGCAGTTTAATAAGGAAGAACATGACCAGATTGATAAAATAATTATAGTAAAATAATAATAATAATAATAAACAGACGAGATCTGATTAGAAATGGTACGAGTTTCTTGGAATCGTTGCCGTTCTGGAGTTGCAGGTTCCAGGCGTCGACGGTATGGCAGCCGATGACTTCGCCCATTTTCCTCTTCGATCTTTTTCTTCTTCTTCTTCTTCTTCGCCTCACACACAGGGGAAAACAATTCTAACCAACTCTCGGAATTAACTACACGGCTCTTAATAATATGGCCTTCTTAATATGGCTTTGGCTCCAAGCACAGCCAGCTGTTCCTCTTATTGGAAATCACATTTTGATAATGGGCCATATGACCCCTCCTTTAGTGTTTTGAAATTTAATCTACACTATTATATTTTTTTCAAAACGTTAACGCTAATAAAAAATGTTGTTTCTAATCAAGACATATGTTTGTCAAGAAATATATTTTCTAGTGTTTTAGATACTTCTTCTCTCGATTTAATCTTTATATTTGATTTTTTACGATCTACTTTAACCATTTATCAAGATATTTATATATACATGTGTTTTATAAAAGAGAAAAATCTTATTTTATTCTTTTTTACTAATGCTAGTTCTATTACAATATATTCTATAATATTTAGTCCGTTAATACTTTCGTCTCTATGAGTCAAATCTAAGTGATATTCTTCATGAATTTCTTCCCACTCCTTTTTAATAATAGACCTTTTGTTATAAAATTATAGCATCTCTATAGTATGCACATATAAATATACCCGGAGTATTTAATTTTGGAGTTCTACATTCTCAAAGTACTCCATTTTCAACTGTAAAATGTAGTATTTCAAACAAAAAAAATACAAGTTCCAATTTGAGGTACACCATTTTCTTTTGTTATACTTGTACATTTTTACTATCCCATAATTTTTTAAGTTTTCTTAAAAAGGAGCTTACATTATTTTGTTTTTTTTCTTAAGTAAATTTCATAATTGATCCTTTATAACAGAGAAATTTCTCTATTTAGTTCTCTATTATCATATATTACCCCGGTGATCTTTCTATAATATCTTTTCACAAATAGTCTTTTTTATCTTCTGTCATGTTAGTGTTGATTTGAAACTAAAAGTGTAATTTTCACAATGATAACATATCTTTCTTGTCATACACAATTCCAAAGGCCGCTCTTGATGCGCTATTTGTGAATTCCAAAGTAGATCTTTTAAATTAAAATATTAAAAGTGTGTTTTAATATTTTAGTATCGAAATAAAAAAAATAAAGTAAATAAAATTTGATCATGTGAATAAGAAATATGCAACTTAATTTGGGAAGAAGAAAATAGCAGTTAATAAAAACCGGAGTATAATTTTTAACGTCCATCATAGATCATCTAGAAACAATCATTTCATATTTTAAGCATAGAGACCAGAGTGCGTACATGATTACATATGGTGCTTGAGGAAATGGGTACGTTTGGAAACAACTTACCTACTTTCAAATAAGGATAAGCTCTGAGTACATACACCTTCCCCAAACGCAATGGCGGATCCACAACATATGGTTGTTTGTGCCTGGTGGCATTGTTGGTCGTGAAAATACGAGGGTTCGAGGACAACACCCCCGATTTTTTTTGTACTAAGTAATATGAAAAATGACAAAAAAAATTGTAAATTTACTCTAGAACAAAAATTTAAATAGTACTCCCTCCGTCCCATTTTATAACGCCTGTTTCGGTTTACGATGTTTGACTGAAATTATTTTCAAATCATTTTATATGACAAATGGTATATAGTTAAAAAATAAAAATTACATATTAAAATACTACATCAAAAGATCTACAAAATTAGTAGTGACAATAGTACTTTATTTTATCAAATTGCTAACGAAAATAGAGAAAGAAAGTGAATGAAGTTTGACCCTGTGAATAGTGAACAAGCATTATAATTTGGGACGGAGGGAGTAAATGAAAAAGGTTCAAAAAAAAAAGTGTACTCCGGGTACAATTTACAAGGTACATTATTACTTAGTTAAATTATTATATTTTCACTATTTGACTTTTGTGTTGATTTTTTTTCATTTTTAACTATTTCACATTAAGATTTAATCATTCAACATTAATTTCTTTTACTTTTCTCATTTTTTTCTTACTAAACACTCTTAATTAGAGTCCTTAAAATTTTTGGCAAATATGCTTATTTTATAGATCATAGTTAATTGATATCATAAAAGAATTAGATCTTTTACAAAAAAAAAAATCTATGGGCTATTCCATGAAAAGTGGGAGTAGGCCATGTGCACCTTAAGAACACGGAAGAAAACTCAAAGTTTTTAATTGGGATCCTAAACTATATTAATGTATAAAAAATTATTTTTTCACTCAACTAAATTGTATTTAATGCTATCAATTCAGAAAATTAAAAGCGGACTAAAATATTACTCCATAATTTTTTGAAGAACGTATGATACTACTCCAGAGTCCGGAGTAATAATATATTTATATATGAGTTGAGCTTCATTCTCTGCCAATAATATGTTATGAAAGTCTAATTCACTTTTCGCGTGACTGTTCGGCCAGTTCTGAAAGGCCATCGCGGATGAGGTTCATCCTTTCAAATGGACATTTATCTCTTAGTTTTGTTTATATATATATATATATATATATATATATATATATATATATATATATATATATATATATATATATATATATTTTAATTTTTCTTTAGCCTAGAAAAGCCCGGGAAAATGAGCAACCGAAATAACAGAAGTAGACTCCCTATAGCTAATCCTACTCTTGTGGATCTTACAGAGTAATTAAGAATCATTCTTCCCTTTCGTCTCCAAATCTCCAATCCCATCCACCATTTTCTTCCCAAACTCATCAGACAAGGGAAATAATTAATAATAAAAAAAGAAGGGAAGAAAGGCAAACATGGCCTTAGGCAAAGGTCGGAGCTCCGGCGGCGGCAGCAGGAGAACATCCAACACCTCCTGGTCGTCCACTGTCACTCCCATTGCTTTCGTTGCCCTCTGCCTCCTCGGCGTCTGGCTCTTGTCCTCCACCTCTGTCGCCCCTCCCCGGACCACCACGCGCGACGCCACCTCGGAAGCCGGAGACGGCGTCGCTTCGTCGGTCCTCAACTCCGTCACCTCCGCCACTCCCAAGGGTGGCGCAAAAAGCCCCCCGGCTTTCGAGGACCACCCCGGAGAGCTCCCGGAGGACGCGATCAAGTCGACCGACCACGACAACGAGGAGGCCGTGAAGCCTCTGGAGAGTGCTACCGACTCGGCCACCTCCTTGGTCAAAGACGAGCCGTCAGACCACGACACAGAAATCACTGATACCGTGAAACCATCAGATCGCGAGACAGAAATCACTGAGACAACGAAACCGTCGGATCGCGACAAAGGCAATGAGATCACCGACACCGTGAAACCGTCGGATCGCGACACAGAAACCAACGACTCTGCAAAAAAAGATCCCATAGTGGTCGACCATGACGACGGGGACACCGATAATTCGAGCACTAAAAAACCAGAAGAAGGCGAGAAGCAAATCAGAAGTGAGCGAAAACCCGAAAATGAAAAGAGAGAAGAGATATTTCCCGCCAAAAAGGGCCAAGAAGAAGCCCGCGAAGCACGAGATGTCGAACGCGAAAACGCGTCCGTCCATCAAGAAGAGACCGCCACGACGGAAGAAAACAACAAAAACATGATATCCGACGAAGACCAGCAAAAGAGACTTGAGGAACAACAACAAAAGGAAGATGACATGATGCAAGTGCGCCGACAGTCGCATCACGAAAATCACGACGAAACCGCCTTACCGGCGGTTTCAGACGATCAGAAAGCGGTCGCCAAGACTGCGTCAAAGAAGGAATGGTCGACTCAGGTCGACCAGTCCGTTAATCAGAAAGAAAGGGTAAAGAGCGGCGGCTCAGAGGAGAGTGATGGTGGTGGTGGGGATCAAGGAGATAGTGGTGCAGGAATGAGTTGGCGGTTGTGCAACGTGACCGCCGGTCCAGATTATATACCGTGTTTGGACAATGAGGAAGCCATAAAGAAGCTGAGAAGTAGGAGGCATTTTGAACATAGGGAAAGGCATTGCCCTGAGGAACCCCCTACTTGCTTGGTCCCTCTGCCCAAAGGGTACAAGAAACCCATCCAATGGCCTCAAAGCAGAGATAAGGTAGTATATATCATCACTCCTGTGTGTGTGTGTGTGTGTGTGTAAACAAATGGAAATGGTGGGTGCAGATATGGTATCACAATGTGCCTCACACATTATTGTGAGGCACATTGTATATATCATCACTCCTGTGTGTGTGTGTGTGTGTGTGTAACAAATGGAAATGGTGGGTGCAGATATGGTATCACAATGTGCCTCACACATTATTGGCGGAAGTGAAAGGGCATCAAAATTGGATGAAGGTTTCAGGAGAGTTCCTAATCTTTCCAGGTGGTGGTACACAGTTCATCCATGGAGCTTTACACTACATTGATTTTGTGCAACAGGTATTTAACAAAAACAAAAAATATGAATAGACTCTATAACAAATAAACTATGATTCTGTGAAGTTAGGGTCCGTTTGGAAAGGTGAAAATTGATTTCTAGAAAATGACTTCTTGAAAATGATTTCTGGAAATTAAATTCATTTTCTAGCGTTTGGTTGAAAGTTTAGAAAATTTAAAAAAAAAACTAGTTTTTTATTGTTATAACATAATAAAATGTGATGAGTTTCAATCAATGAAGTAGGATAAGGTGGAAAATGTCTTCCGCCCAAAAAAACAGAAATCATTTACTCCAAAGAAGGATCATTTTCCGTTAACTCCTATTTTCCAGGAAAACCAAACACCTGAAAATGACTTCCAATGTCATCCCCCCCAAATGGACCCTTAATTGAGCTCAAGTTTGACCCTGGTCCACTCAAAGACTAGAAACACAGTTTCACAAATAATGGTTTGCTTGTGAAACTGAATATGTGAGAAAGTGTGGGAGAAGCTTGGGGCAAAAATGAGATCATGTAATTTAATGAAAATATGGTACCTGCAGGCAGTTCCAGAGATTGCATGGGGAAAGCGGACGAGAGTGATATTGGACGTGGGGTGTGGGGTGGCCAGCTTTGGGGGTTACCTCTTTGAGAGAGACGTCCTCGCCATGTCATTCGCCCCTAAAGATGAGCACGAAGCCCAGATTCAGTTTGCACTTGAAAGGGGGATTCCAGCAATCTCTGCCGTTATGGGCTCCCAGCGCCTCCCATTCCCCAGCGGAGTCTTTGACATTGTCCATTGTGCACGCTGCAGAGTCCCTTGGCATGCCGAAGGTTCGCTACCCTCTCCCCTTGCACCATTTTTTTTAACCTGCAAACAACATAGGAGAGGCAAACACTCAAGAGACCATTACACAACATCTGTGTAGGCTCATACATAAAATGTCACTTAAAAAGATCCAACAAAAAGGACAATGTCTACCTTAGATTTCATCTAAACCGATGACACTCTGTAATATGTTGAATGTTTGCCATGAAGGTGGGGCTCTACTTCTGGAATTGAATAGAGTGCTTCGTCCCGGAGGATACTTTGTCTGGTCTGCAACTCCAGTCTACCAAAAACTTGAAGAAGATGTGATGATTTGGAAGGGTGGGACTTCTAAAAAAACAAATCATGCCCATATTTTTTTTCATCTTAAATTGATTCCTTAGAGGAAAAATGACTGAATATATCTCATTATTAATTTACATTACTCTGTATCCCAGAAATGTCAACTCTAACAGTGGCAATGTGCTGGGAGCTTGTTGGGATAAAAAAGGACAAGTTGAACTCCGTTGGTGTAGCTATCTATCACAAACCAGACTCCAACGATTGCTACGACCAAAGGAAAAGCAGAAACCCTCCCATGTGTGATGAGGACGATGACCCTAATGCTGCTTGGTAATCTCACTTCCACTCCTTCCTGTTCTCTGTTACAGGGAAAAATATTTAGGGATAAAAGCATCCATTGTACAAATAATTAATATCAGGAAATTTAGAAGGTTAGCAAAAACTATACACGGAATTCCCGAACCAAAAATATTTTTTGACAAAAAGGAAAAGGGAAAACTAATCTAGGACGGGGGGAATGCATGCCACTTTTCAACATTAATAGGGGTAATCTAGTCATATTGAAGTATTTAAACCATGACTTAGGATTTTTTTGTTACTTCCTTTATATCTGTGCAAACACAAAAATAGAAGGTTAAAAGAGAATAATGTTTGAAACTGAAACTCAAAATTATCTTAACCATAACATCCTAAAAGAAATTAAACAAATTTACCATTTAAGTGGGGAGGGGTCTTCACTCAATGAAACACTAAAAACCACAGCTACACTGAAGAAATGAATATTTTAGTATGAAAAGTAATGGAAAAATTACGAGTATATGTCATCGTACAAAAGTTAGTGATGAAATTAAACTAGAATTGACATTCAATTGAAAAATAAATCAAGATACATTTTTTTCTAAGAGAACCAAATAAAATTATGTATTTTAGTAGATTATTAATTTGAGGAATTGGTGGGGCCTACATAAATATATAAAGGCTTTTTGAAAATATAAACCTAAAAACTTAGTGAAATTATTAATTTAGCATACTGGCCGAAGTTGGGGCCGACGAATCCTATTAATTAAGCGCAATTATTAATAAATCGCGTATTCAATTATCAGGGTTATACTGTATGAATATACTTTTCAGGTATGTACCTTTGCAAGCATGCATGCACAGAGTCCCAACAGATGACAAAGACCGAGGATCAAAGTGGCCCAAGCAATGGCCCGAGAGACTCCAAACGCCGCCATATTGGTTAAACAGATCTCAAACGGGTATATATGGGAAACCAGCTCCAGATGACTTTGCAGCAGATTATGAGCACTGGAAACATGTGATCAGCAAGTCATACATGAGAGGTTTGGGCATCAACTGGTCAAAAGTTAGGAACATCATGGACATGAGAGCAGTTTATGGGGGGTAAGTTACTATTCTGCTTCTAATTATAAAATTAAAACAATTAAAGGAAAAGTATTTCTTCACTAAACTTACAAAGCTTTAAAAGTAGTAATGCTCAAGACACAAAACGAAAGTATACTCAAGAATGTGTTACTGTTTTACAGATTTGCAGCAGCACTGAAGGACTTGAAAGTGTGGGTGATGAATGTGGTTAATGTAGATTCACCAGACACACTTCCGATCATATATGAGCGTGGGCTATTTGGAATATACCATGACTGGTGTGAATCCTTCAGCACATACCCAAGAACATATGACCTCCTCCATGCTGATCATCTCTTCTCAAGGCTGAAAACGAGGTACAAAAAACTATAAACAAAATAAACAGTGATTTCCCTTGCATAATAATAATAATTATAGTCTTCTTGGAACCCGAAAAATATTAGGGAAAGAAAATAATAATTATAGTCTCACTGGCTCAAAGTCTCATGTCTCAAACACAATATTTTTTATATTTATTGAACTCATTTTGTTTATATATTTCTATTACATAAAGACTGAGAAACCTAAATATATGTAAACTTTTCAAAAACATTACTATTTTTTTAGTAAATGACAAAACACACGAAAATAACATTTCTAACATTTTTTCTCCTTACCATATCATTCTCTGAGATCCAGAAATACCCTTACTGTATCTGCAGGTGCAAGTTATCTGCAGTGATGGCAGAGGTAGACAGAGTAGTTAGACCAGGAGGCAAATTCATAATGCAAGATGACTCTGGAACCATAAAGGAAGTAGAGAACTTACTCAAGTCTTTGCATTGGGAGGTAAGGATGACCTTCTATCAAAAACAGGATGGAATGCTTAGTGCTGAGAAAAGTGAATGGCGACCAGAAACTTATGCTGCTCCAACCTGAAAATTTTAATGTCAAAAACATCAGGGATTCACATTTACAGTAAAGAAAGAAGTGCTCTTCTTTTCACTACATCCCACATGAAAATGTTGTTGCAGCTTTCTACTTACATAATTCCAAATGTTTTATGATTCTTCTTTCTGCAGAATCCATGATGTTCTCGTTAAGTATAGAACCATTTTTCTGCTTCAATGTTTGAATAGGTAACTTACAGAAATCCCCGTGCATTATACGAATTCTGCATAATCTCTTGTGATTTATAAAAGTGTACCAAGAATGATTGTGTTTTGGTTTTAGAAAATTGCATCAAGGCATGTTCTATAAAAAAGATGGACGGTTAGATTTAGATCAATAATTTGTAGAACATGTTGGCATTGCTAACTCAATAAGCACAAAGCATCAAATTGATGTCTATTCAAACTGGCAATTGGAGAAGTAATAAGCACCAAATTGCGATCAGAACGATTGGAGGCTAGAATGCGAGATATACAAAATAGGTGAGAGTTTGAGTTGAATAATCCATAAGCAGTTCCCAATCGCAGTGCCAAACAGTCATCACAATTGGGGAATACCACATTGATGAAAGGTAACAATGAACAAAGAACCAAGCAATAGGGGTGGACACGACATCAATTTCAGCTAGAACCGAATCTGAGGTCAGGACTAGTAACTTTTTGACTAACCATATGCAAATACGGTTCCACAATCCCCAACAGCTTTTTTCTCCTAACTAAAATCCAGTCGGGAGCTGGTGAACTAGATCGAAAAGAACCAGAGATGTAATGAGACTGATAAAAATCCCCCCCATGCCACAATTCATCTTAAGGTTATATCACTTGGAGGACCAAAAATGTGTCGACCCCTAGGTTGTTAACAAAATGAGGCCTAACACACCAAGACGAGTCGTGAGCAAATTTAATTAAAAAGCGAACATAGGCTATCAAAAGTAGGGCTACACCGGGTGTGTGTGTGTGTGTTTGTGTGTGTGTGTGTGTTCAGAGGTGACATTAAAAGCTAGCATACAACCATCCAAATTTTAAACTGCTCCGTATATGTTATTGTTAAAATACAAATTAAATACAGCTTAATAACCGACAGTCTCACAAAACACACACACACTCGCAAAAAAACTCAAATTACACATTAAACTCCATAAATTAGCGTGGGTGCCAAAGCTCAAGGTACTTTTAACAAGTCCTCCATAGAAATTTAGCATAGCTTTCCAGTGCTCCACAGTTGTGCTGACTTCTATAAACCACCAGCATGCTTTGGGCTATTCTTTGCTCAGAAGATTTTCCAATTGCCCGTTTTCAACAGCTATGTAAAGATCTAAATATCACAAGCACATTTTGGAGGGGTGGGGCAGGGAGGGGGGATTAGTTCAGACAGGTGAAAGAAACACAACAGCAGATCTATAATTGAATTTTTGAGGCTTTACCATCAGATCCACCAATATGTTTCCCATTCACGAATACTTGTGGGACTGTTCTGCGGCCCACCAGATCTAGAATAACATCTTGAATGCGCTGCCCATCATCTGTATATGTCCAATGAAGCCATCACATTCACAATTATAATGACTGTCAGGTGACTCAGGTGGCTAGTAATTTTAATTTTTCAGCTCCATTCACAGTTAGAACTGAGAGCAGAGTAGAAGATATGGCAGTAGAAACACAAACTTTCTTTATGTTAGTTACAGAAATAATCCATAGCTAAAGGTGTGTATTGTTTGTTAATCTTAAACAGTAATAATCTAAGCGCTTAGCGTTATTTTAGAACTTAGAGCTAGTGTTAGGGTGTATATTTTTGAAGGAAGAACAGAAGTTTAATGAGAAGCATAAATTAAGATATATGGAGAGTGGATAATGTAACAATACAGCAACAACTAAGCCTTGCATCCCAAGTAACATAAGGACAGCTACATGAACCCCAAGTTAGTTGTTGGATATAAGGCTTAGTTGTTGTTGTATTGTTACATTAAGCACTTTCTGTATAATGTAACTATGTTATTTTTAAAATAAATAAATGTGAGGGTGTACTAACAGTATAGGTTGCAAGTAATAAATAAATGTGGGGGTGTACTAAATAATACTTCAATCAACCACCAGCATTTGACGTTTATAATATAGTCTTATAGCAAGTAATTTAAGTGTTGTGTTACATGAGTGGATTGTTCTATTTGTTACTGGGTGACACATTGAGGTGGTTTGGGCACATACTGAAGAGAAGTGTGGATGCTTTAGTGAGGAGGCACGAGGCTTGAGCTAGGAGCATAAGGAGGGGTAGAGATAGACCTAAAAGAGGTTGAAAGAAATTGATTAGACTGGGCTTATGACGTCAGGATCTCACCAAGAATATGGTCTATGGTCATACTCATAGATAAAAGCATCTTGAGACCTAGGATTAAGGTGTTTGGTTATACCTTCAGCTTTAGTCTGTAGTTCCTGCATGTGCTTTTATGCCTGAGTTTGTAATTTCTACATGGGTGCTTTTGTGTCTGAGTTCGCAGGTTGCCAGGTTCTGTGTGTGTGTTTGTTTTTATTGTGCTTTTACGTTGTTCACGCTACTTTCTTCTTGTCCTTGTGCTTCTGGATTTTGAGCAGGGCTCTTTTAGAAACGGCTTCTCTGTTTCTAAGTAGAGAGGTAAGGTTTGCATCCACACACGCTCAGACCCCTTTCTGTGGGATTTTCCTTTGATGTTATTGTTGTTGGTGGTGACACATTGTTATGTTTGAGACTTGAGTTATGATGTGTAGCGTCAGGCAAAATATAAACATTGGTAGCCCTGCTTAATAGTTGAAATGTGTTCTGTGTACGATTATGAACCCATTTTTACTAGGAGTTAGGTCTAGTTCTACGGAACTGTTAAGAGACAAGAGTCTAATAAGCGTAGAGCATCAGGTTTCAGTTGTAGTACACAGTATATGAAGGGAGAGGGAGGTACTGATTACGGATGACAGTTGTTGATCTCTAATCTCTATAGCAGATTAGTGACAAACTCACTAAATTCAGTGGCCGAACAAAATCCATCACATTTTCTAAGGGAGAGGCAGTTTAGCTACAGATTAATTTTTAATGGGAGATTTCCAGTTTTCCACTATAACTGAGTTCAAAAGGGAAGGAAATGAATTACCTCGAAGATCCAGCTCCACGACAAAAGGTGTCTCCTTTAGGTCCTTAAATACCTTCTTGGCACGCATGGAATACCTTTTTCAAGATCCATCAATGTAGATATTTAAAAATGGTAAGACAATTACACAATCTTATCTGCACCTGTCAAACTCAAGTTTCCATAGCATCGAGTTTGTGCTAATTCAAATAATTTCAATATTTGAGAAATTTAGTAAATCAATTAGATGTCCAATGGCCAACATGAATCAAACCCGACCATCACACTCCTTAAATTGGAGTTACTGTCTGAAACTGCATTGAAACCAACATAGTGGACCATTTCAAAATAGGCTAAATCATAGATTTTTCAATTCTTCAAAGTGGCATTCCAAGATGTTTTTTCATGATGCAAACAAATGAACCAAATATGAGAATAAAGCATTCCAAACCTTATATTCCAACAAACCCTTTAGGATTCCATGAACCAAACATCGCTTAAGAGATTAAAATTTAGTGCATAAGGAAATCGATGTGTGGTAAACTAGGCATCGTGTTTTGGGCATGAACACAGAGCACCATATATAATAAACATAATTTAAAAGCCACCATATCTGGACCATTGAAAGAAATAAAAAATCCAACTAATCATACAAAGTTGGCAACAAAGATGTCACTACATAGTACATAGATGAGATGGCCTAAATAATTTGGAAGGCAAAAAGTAGCATATGCGGGCATTGTTGCTTTCTTTGTGTGTGTGGAAAACAAATAACCGTGCAGAAAATACTGATACCCAAAATCATTAAGAAAAGTAAAGATCAAACTAATGTTACTATATCCGGAGTCACTAACAATTAGAAATTAAAATAAAATTAAACTATACATATTATTAGACATATGTTCAAACAAAAAAGAAAATCTAGAGACACTTATTTTTCAAACATAACGTGTGTAAAGTATCTTTCCATATCCAGTTCTTTATACCTACCATAGACCTATTAGTGAATGGAAGAATAAAAACAACAATGTAAAAGAATTAAAGAATAACCCTTCTACATGGAATGTTCGGAAAAAGAATTAAAGATTAACTATTTGAGGTTTTTCTTTTTCCCTTCACTATTAAGTTTTTCTCAATTCATTATGATCTTTTCACTTTCAAAATTTTCATTTCCTAATGACAAAAGGTTTGAAGATGATATGTTAGACATTTCAAATGATAAGAATAAACTAAACAAAATATGACATCACACCTTACACGCATTATGTTTGACAAAAAATGATCATATATTTACCTTCCTTCTCTAATGTATGTATTATAATGTACCCATTTTGACTCCAAAGTCAAAATTAACTTGGGGGTGCAATTGAAGGGGTTGGGGGGTGTATTCGGGTCGGGGCAGGGTGGGGGGTTTATCGGGGGGTTAGGAGGGGGTAGGAACCATCAATTTTACGAACGGAATACCGGAGCACCCCCGGGTCATCCCATGACATTGATTCCCAATGTCATGGGAACCAACCTCTATAATATATATTGTATGTATATAGTTTGGCTAACTTGCTTTTAATTTATTGGATATTATAATGTTAATTCTACTTCTTCTTTTATTAACGCTATGTTTGGTTCAAGGAATTTGGAAAGAAAAAAAAAGAAAATGGTTCTCTCATTGTCCTCACCAAAATGGGAGGAGTTTTGCTTTCACTCCTCTTAGTACAATTTGTCTTCTCATTTCCTTTTCCTTCCACTTTTATTTTCTTTTCCTCTCTAAGTCTCTAACCAAACAAAAAAAATATGTTTTCATCTCATTTTCTTTTCTTTTCTTCTCCATCAAATTCCTTGAACGAAACATAGTGTAAATTATTTCGGGTATCAAAACTTTGTCTACCTATACTCAGTTCTACGTATATTTTTTGGTTCTGTTTGGCATTATGGCATCAATACTTGTTTTCTCC